AACTTGAGACCATGTCGTGTGTATTCGTCTGGGTCACGGCACCAACGTGTTAACTCTCTAACTGGAAACAGGTGTGGACGGCTGATGTATTTGCTTTTGTGTATTTGAGGAAGTGTTGAAAAAGCCTGCTGAGTTATACACATGACGTATGTAGAGCAAATGTAACTCGCTCGTACTGTCTCTTTAGATAACTCATTAGCACATTAACAACGTATTCCCTGATGTTTTACAGGAACAAGAAAATAAAGACATCCGACGGATCCCAGATCAGCCAAAGTGGAAGATGCATCTATTAAATGTGCATGATTTTGCAACTTCAGGACACAGATCTTACATTGGAAATAAAGCGACAACTTACAGACCAAAATAAACATTTTGTACGTTTAAAAACCCTTTAAACTAAAACATTTCAATTGACTAAAATTACCATGAATGCACATGCCAAATAATACATATTAAAGTATTAAAGGGATAGTTGCCAACTATCACCCAAAATCACCCAAAAATGAAAATTCTGTCATTGATTACTCACCGTCTTGTTGTTTCAAACCCGTAAAGACCTTCGTTCTACCATGGTCAAGGCCCAGAAAGGTAGTAAGGACATTGTTAAAATAGTCTATGTGACATCAGTGGTTCAACCTTAATAAGTAATGAAGTTACGAGAGTCACTTTTGTGTGCAATGAATACCAAAAGAACGACTTTATTCAACAATATATTCTCTTCTGTGTCAGTCTTCGACGCGCGTTCACGGCAGTACCACAACGCATGCATGTGACACTTCTGACGCAGGAGTAGAACCCGGAGAATCTGATGTAGAACCCGGATGCGCTGCGGCATGTTTGCAAAGGGAGGAATGCACATGAATGCATTGTGGTATTGTCGACTGACACAGAAGGGAAGAAATTGTTGAATAAAGTCATTATTTTAGTTTTCTTTGTGCACAAAAAGTATTATCGTAGCTACATAAAATTATGGTTGAACGACTGATGTCACATGGACTATTTTAATGATGTCCTTACTACCGTTCTGGGCCTTGAACGTGGTAGTTGCGTTGCTGTCTATGCAGGGTCAGAAAGTTCTCGGATTTCGTCAAAAATATCTGTGTTCTGAAGATGAACTAAGGTCTTACGGGTTTGGAACAAAATGAGGGTGAGTAATTAATTTTCATTTTTGGGTGAACTATCCCTTTAATATCAAACATTATTAAAAAGTGACAGGTGGATTTACACCAACACATTATAGAGTTTGATTGGACGCAAGTGTTTAAGTGGAAAGTGTTTTCACTTATCTTTTAAACATTGATACGCTTATTTATTTTGCTCTCATAACTATGCATGATTATATAGTTGAATTTTATTATTTGCATTTAGCATTATTTTGTCCCTACTGTCCAGAATCCCATAAGATGAAAACTTTTTTTTTAAATCTCATTTTCTTATTGAATTATATAAACAATTTACTTTTTTATTACATCAGAAAATAAAATTATAATAAACAATTATAATACAATTACAGCTACCAGTAACCATTAAAACAGATGTAGTAGCATTAACAAAATTGTCTTTTGTCAATAGTGTGAACATGTATTAAGCACAGTTCATGCAGAAGTCACTTTCAAACCAAGTCAAATCTGTGTGGGTCAATCTTTTGCTCTTAAGCGAACTTCCAGATTGCATGGAATCCTAATGAAAAGGCAGGATTTTGTTCATGAATATTTGCCAAACAACACTAAATTTGACTGCATCTTTCTTTAGACTGCATCTATAGCCTTGATTATGGCATTATTAAAAAATGTACATTTTAAGAAAAAAAAGTAAAACTTCCTATTCTCCCTCTGAAGTTTCATCTGCATGGAGATTCAGATGTCCTGTTGATTTTGCACTCATGATGTAATGCTTTATAACATGTTGCTTTGCTAATACTGCTTTTGCCTTATGACTTTCAATCATATGCTTTGCACTTGGGAGTCTCAAAGTCATGCTACAAACACTACATCTTAACAATCTTACTGGTATAGCATTATAAATCATTTTGGTAGTAATATAGTTCAACTCTTTCAAAATATCAATCAAGTATTTCCTACTATGACAGTTCAGACTATCATTGATGATCTCAGCAACTGTACAATTGTTGTATTGTCAAACAAGCTTTCACAGTAAAGTAGTGATACATGCACAGATTGCCTCTGTGTGTTTCTTGTACTGCACTCATTGTTATTTGAGACAAGCTGTCTGCTTCTTTCTTTGAATGGATTGGTTTTCATTGTGTGATAAAACAAGGCAGGTCACAGAGAATGTTTGGTTTTAGAACTTTACTGAAATGCATCTGACAGTCTAACAATAGACGAAGGCTTTCAGTGCACGCCAATGAGAGGCCAATGTGATCACGTGGTGTGTTAGTATGTTAGCCTTGAGACTGAGGCCCGCTGCTCTAACACTGCGCTCGAAAAGAGAGTGGCTCCTGAGATCTCTGAGATCCACACACAACCCAGGTAAGAGTTATCTATTCCTACCAAATCCCTGCCTTGTGGGAATAATGAACAGGATGTATTTTGGTATAGGTGTTGCATTTAACAATGTTTCTAATGTATCCTGCATTTAATCTTTGACGTAGTTTATAGTCATGTCTGACACAGAAGATGTGATGGATGAGGGAGTTCAGTGAGTAACAGTCTTTTACTCCAAAGTTTGCAATACTTTATAATTTATTTGCATGATTTATTATGATAAAAATGCATCATATTTTCACTTACAAATCTTTTGTCTCTTTGTTTGTGTTTGATCTCATTTTATAAAAGGGAGGAAGGTATTGTATATTTTAATATTTTAATTTAACATGAAGGAAATAATGCATTATTTATCGGCTTTAAGATATCGGCCAAATTTTCTTATCAGGCCGATACCGATAACAGAAAAAATGAGCCGATATGGGCCGATACCGATATGGTGGCCGATATATCGTGCATCCCTAATTTACATACATTTACACTGGCATACATGGTTTGCACCAAGTATAATTACCAACAAACAGAATACACCTTATTTGAGCAAAATTAGTGAAAAATGCAATACTGCTTTTGCCTTATGACTTTCAATCATATGCTTTGCACTTGGGAGTCTCAAAGTCATGCTACAAACACTACATCTTAACAATCTTACTGGTATAGCATTATAAATCATTTTGGTAGTAATATAGTTCAACTCTTTCAAAATATCAATCAAGTATTTCCTACTATGACAGTTCAGACTATCATTGATGATCTCAGCAACTGTACAATTGTTGTATTGTCAAACAAGCTTTCACAGTAAAGTAGTGATACATGCACAGATTGCCTCTGTGTGTTTCTTGTACTGCACTCATTGTTATTTGAGACAAGCTGTCTGCTTCTTTCTTTGAATGGATTGGTTTTCATTGTGTGATAAAACAAGGCAGGTCACAGAGAATGTTTGGTTTTAGAACTTTACTGAAATGCATCTGACAGTCTAACAATAGACGAAGGCTTTCAGTGCACGCCAATGAGAGGCCAATGTGATCACGTGGTGTGTTAGTATGTTAGCCTTGAGACTGAGGCCCGCTGCTCTAACACTGCGCTCGAAAAGAGAGTGGCTCCTGAGATCTCTGAGATCCACACACAACCCAGGTAAGAGTTATCTATTCCTACCAAATCCCTGCCTTGTGGGAATAATGAACAGGATGTATTTTGGTATAGGTGTTGCATTTAACAATGTTTCTAATGTATCCTGCATTTAATCTTTGACGTAGTTTATAGTCATGTCTGACACAGAAGATGTGATGGATGAGGGAGTTCAGTGAGTAACAGTCTTTTACTCCAAAGTTTGCAATACTTTATAATTTATTTGCATGATTTATTATGATAAAAATGCATCATATTTTCACTTACAAATCTTTTGTCTCTTTGTTTGTGTTTGATCTCATTTTATAAAAGGGAGGAAGGTATTGTATATTTTAATATTTTAATTTAACATTAATTTATTTAGTTATTTATTATAATGCCAGTGGCTATTTACATACATTTACACTGGCATACATGGTTTGCACCAAGTATAATTACCAACAAACAGAATACACCTTATTTGAGCAAAATTTGTGAAAAATGCATTTTGATTTTTAGGCAATCAAATTGCCTGAAAGTATAGGCAATTTGATATTGCCTATACTAATTCTTATTATTTTTAATAACATAAAAAAAAGTATTTATTGTTACTATTCTATTCACACTATTCACCTCTTTCTCCAATTACAGTAGATGACTCAAAGTCCAAACCAAAGTAAGTCCCATTGTTCTCTTGTACAGAGCCTATAATTATTAGCCAGAATACAACTTTTTTTAAAGGCTCAATCTTTTATCTTCAGATATCTATCAAATATCCAAGCACCAAAAATTCCAGAGGGAGACAAAGTAGATTTTGATGTAAGTAGGAGATTTTTCTCTTTAAACACACACCTCTCTCGTTTTTAGACCACCTGTATCAATTGTGTGTGTGTGTGTGTGGCAGGACATCCAAAAAAAGCGTCAGGAGAAGGATTTAGCAGAACTACAGTCTCTTATAGAGGCTCATTTCCTCCAGAGACAGAAAGATGAAGAGGAACTCATTGCTCTGGTCAACAGAATTGTGAGTGCTTCCTCATAAATGTTGTTTATTGCTGATGTAAATGTCTTGCATAGACAGTAGACAGTAATTCTTATAGGTTTGCATCCTTTTTTAAAATTTTGTTAAATATGAAAGTCGAAAAGAGGTATTCTAATTTTTGTTTTAAACAAGATCAACATCTTGCAGATCCTGCAAGAGGTACATAAACTTACGAGCAGAAGTATGTAAATATGTGTTTGAACAGGAGAAGAGGCGAGCGGAGAGAGCCGAGCAGCAGCAAAAAAGAGCAGAGAGAGAGAAAGAGCGTCAGGCCAGACTCACTGTGAGTTCCTGTCACATTCTGACTGTCAACGCCTGCCATCTTCTGCTCAGACACCTGCTAAACTACACCAGCTGCCTACTGAAACACCTTCCACCAATGACACCAAACTAGTCCTGAATTTACACCTTTAAATCACATTTGTTGAGGATGTTAACAAAATTCTCCTTGTATAGTCAAACAAATGCATTTTACATGCTACTGGATAATTTCTACAAAACTTTCAATTTAGATTTAACTGATTTTTTGCTCAGCCATTGAAGTGAAACGATGAACTACATGCTTATAACAGAGATGAAACCTATGATCTGAATTGTTGACAGGAAGAGAGAGAGAGGAAGGAGCTGGAAGAGCAGAGAAAGAAGCAGGATGATGATGCCAAGAAGAAGAAAGCTCTTACTAATATGACCCACCAGTATGGTGGCACACAGCAAAGGGTCAGTGTTTACCAACATATAAACACTGTAAATGTCTAAATATTTGAAGTTACATGATAATGTTACGCAGTCTCTTTCATTAATATTATAATTATTGCTGAACTAAAGGGTGAAGGACGCAAAGGTGCAAAGAAGCAGACCGAAAGAGAGAAAAAGAAGAAGATCCTGGCTGATCGCCGAAAACCACTGAGCATTGATCATCTGAGTGACGACAAACTCAAGTACAAAAGCTTTTATATATTGGCACATATTATTGAGTTGGCTTGTGAAAGCCAATTTACTGAAATGCTTTTTAAACTTCTTCTTCTTCTTCTTCTTCTGAGACTAAAATGATCAACTCTAACTCCTCCTAGAGCTTTAACTCTACAGACTCCAAACTCAGCCCATATCTTCAGACTGATCTGTACCCTAGCAACCGCTCTAGTAACCACCCAAAGTACCCTAGCAACCGAATAGCAAAACCTTAGCAAAAACACTGGTATTCTAGCAGCTGCATCTATCAATCTATAGTCTGATTCTATCTATCTATCTATCTATCTATCTATCTATCTATCTATCTATCGTCGGTCTGATTCTGCCATCTATCCATCTAAATATCTATCTATCTTCAGTCTGATTGTATCTATCTATCTATCTATCTATCTATCTATCTATCTTCAGTCTGATTCTATCTATCTATCTATCTTCAGTCTGATTCTGTCCATCTATCTATCTTCAGTCTGATTCTATCTATCTATCTATCTTCAGTCTGATTCTATCTATCTATCTATCTATCTATCTATCTATCTATCTATCTATCTATCTATCTATCTATCTTCAGTCTGATTCTATCTAAAGCCTTCAAAACATTCAAACTTTAAGCTTTTAAAACTACTTTAAACTTCAAACTATTGCAGACTGAAAACCATCAAACTTAAAACTTTTTATAAACTTCTTAAACTTTTCAATCTCTTTTCAAACTTTCTGGTCCGGCTTTCTCAAGCCAATTTAAAGTTTGTCTTGACAAACTTTTTTATCTAGTTTTATCTAAATACTTATTATTTATATGCATATTATTGGCGCTGATTAATAATTTGGGCCATTCCCACTTGTTCTTGCGTTTAAAAACGCTAATAGAAAAGAACATCGTCTTGAACAGCGTTTTACGAAATGGTTACTATTACAGTAGAACCTACACAACTAGTAGGCTATCAAATGAAAAAAAAAAAAAACACACACACACACAAAAACACTTGTAGTAATAGTGGCCATTCGCGCTGAACGCTTCCTTGCGTTCAAAAACGAGATGAACGGGAAAAGAACGTCTCGAAACGCGTTTTTCGAACTATAACTGCAACTAGGCGATGAAAAAGAATTTAAAAACAACCCAGTGGAACGCGTTCTGTGTCAATCTTACCATTTGTGTCTCTGTTTGCAGTGATAAAGCCAATGAATTTTGGCAGTGGTTGATGCAGCTGGAAGCAGAAAAGTACGATCTGAACGAGAAACTGAAACACCAGAAATACGATGTAAGTGATAACTTCCTTTGTTACTTTCAAGTTGCTTTTGAGACGTTACGGAGCTTCTGCCAGACCCAATTTTTGAGTCATTGACAGTTTAACAAAATCCAGTTCACGTTGAACAGCTGGAGTGTGGTCTGAGGTAATTAGGTTGTGTTCATTATCACTGTATCCTGTTAGCACTCAACTGTCACGTTTCTGTCTCTCACAGATAAATCAACTCCTTGCCCGCGTCCAGGATCACCAGAGGTATAAATCACAAGCTTGAAATCTCACTAACCACTTAGAGTGTTGAACCATGTTCAGATGTGAGGCCAAAAACTAATTTTAACCTCTTGCTTTTCTCTCTTAGTGCCAAGGGACGCGGCAAAGGCAAGATGGGAGGAAGGCTGAGATAGACGTCGACAGCACACATGAGAGGAATTTCTGTCCTCCTGCATTAGTTTTGTTTGAAGTTATTTAAAAGTCATTATTCAGAACATATAAAAATGCTCTGGCTGTACATTTTTGGTTTGCAGTCTCTTGCTTATTTTTTTTTGCCATGAATAAATATTAGCACTTACTGTTAGTTTCAGTGTACTCCATTTATGTTTATATTATTTAATCAAATAAAAATATTTAGTCTGTGATTATGAAATTATATCAGCAACATATTGTATTATTATTAATATGTAACAGTAAATATAATATAGTTGCAGTACACCATAAAATGAACGGGTATGTGTGAATATTATAGGTGCAGATAAAAACACTAACATTGAATTAAACTACATTAATCAAAAGTTTCCCTCACCATTAATTTTATATGACCAAAAATAGAAAAATGAACAAATGACACTATGAAATTAAAGGTGCATCTAGTAATTTTGGTTTTATTAAAAAAGTTTTATACATTCACACAAAAGAGATGAGTGCTGCTTATGTTTCGAATCATGTAGACTCACTATCAACAGTCTAATAAAAGGGGATTTATTTACATTGAGCATGTCACCCTTATATAGGGGTAACCAAGTTGAGATCACATGACCAGTCAAATGCTTCTCACTTTATCTTGGTAGCCCCTGTAATTATTTTCAGAATACATTTTTGTGTGATCCTGCAACATTGTCAATATAATCCAAAGTTGATGGCTATATCGAACAGAAATACATGAAAATATTACTGAGTGCACTTTCGCAAATGTCCAATCATACCAAAAGTTGCAAATGAAGCCACAACATCATGACAAACCCTTTAATTTGTTTGTATCACTACCTTTAATTTAGGCTAGATCAGGGACACACAGTCCTTTAACAGGCCACACATTATCTGCAGCGTACATCATGTGTCTGCTTACATACATGAGAGAGATCACAGAATGGGACGTGTGCAGGTGTGAAGTGATATGTGCTGCCCTCAGTGTATTTAAAGAAGAGTCCGTTGAGTACATAAGATTATATTCAATACACACTAACTGACACCAGTGCATTTTTCAAGTTGGCTGTCTGTGAAATCCAGACAGAAGAGAGACGAGGCTGACGCAGACCGCAGGGTTCGAGTGAAAGGGAGAGGGGCTGTACATCAGCTGGACTTCACCACAGGTGTGTTTCTCGGATCTCAGCGATCACATGACTGGCTTTCTGCAAGGCCTAGGGGTAGAGGAGAGGATATAAGTTTAAAAAGAGTTGAAAATTTCTCATCATATAATATGATAAAACATATAATTCAAAGTTTAAATTAGCCTCTACATTAAATATTAATTGTTTTAATTAATTAAAAATAATAAGTAATGATAGCAATAATGAAAAAATATAAAGCTATTATTTAATACTATATAATTAATAATAATAATAAAGTAATATTCATGATTAACAAATAATATTAATGAAAAGGACTAATTTTATTTATATATAATTCTTACATGATAATACATTATTATTAACAATTAATATTATTGTAATATAAAGGCTACTCTGCATTACTACACATTTTATATTAATACAAAATAACTAATAATATATTAAATAATTATTTAATCTTAAATAACGATGGATTATTTGTAGCATTATTAAATTAGTAATAATAATGTATATTAAAGAAAAATGTGTTGTAATGGAGAGTAGCCTTTACAATAACATTTAATTGTTAATAATAATAATAATTATTATTATTATTTTTTTATATATATATATATATATATATATATATATATATATATATATATATATATATAATTATTAAATAATAATAATTATTATTATTATTAACAATTAAATGTTATTGTAAAGGCTACTCTCCATTACAACACATTTTTCTTTAATATACATTATTATTACTAATTATACATTGTTAATTATAATTTCATTAATATTGTTTAATAGTAAATTACTAGTAGTATTATTAATATAAATGTAACGACTACATTACTAAACATGTTAGACTAATATACATTTATTATTGTAAATTCATAGAATTACAAACATTTTTACTTTAATATACGTTATTACTAATTATACAGATTATTACTGCTGCCGTTACCTTCAGCATATCTGCGGCTTCATTGCGGCGCTGGGCCATGTCCTCTGACTCTGTGAGGAGGTCGTCCAGCAGGGCGGGTTTATACAGCTGCCCCACTAACTCGCTCTGTAAGCTGTCCTTCACATGGTTAACCAGGAAGTGCATCACAGCCTTTGGTACACTGCAGAGACAGAGAAACAGAATGAGCAATCTGCTTAAAACATGAAACCAGAAACTGATTCACGTGGCATCTACCTGTCCTGGATGTTTTTACGGACAATGAGGAAATACGACTTGATGAGACACTCGATGACCTCGCAGTCCCTCTGCTCACGAGCAGACAGTTTCCGGGCGACCGGCACGGGCTGGCCGAAGTTCAGAACAAATTAACACTAATTCATTGTGACCGTGTTAGCAAACAGCTCTCAAAGAGAGCACAAACGCTTTTTGTGCTCTTTATTTACTCATTTTAAGTCATTTCTGTGGCACAATCAAATGTATTTGTGTTTTATGGACTCACCACATCAAGCAGGTTCACTGCGTATCCTTTCTGAGGGCTGGCGAGGACGGAGCTCTGTGGTTTAGTCTTGTCTTCGCCCTGGCCTTCGTCTCCTTTCTTCAACATACCTCTCCAAGTCCCAGATCCTCCTTCCTGCTCCCCCTGAGCTCCTCCAGCCATCTGAGATGCACAAACAAGAACACCACCACAGGACTGAACAGTCAGCCACTAGTGATTCATGCACCTTCCCATGCAGTCCATTGGGGTTTTACATATTGTTTTTAGGCTTCAAACTTAACGTTTGCACACAACGGTTCACACATAAAACACCAATTATAGCCTTAAACTGAAAAGATACAACTGCAAAAAACAGCAGCAGTTGTCCAGGGTCTTCAAAATCAACCTTAATATCAACACAGCAAACACACAACAGAAGTTTGAGAAGATCCTGATGAGTAAAATCATTAGATTGGCTTTGCCCCTACACACAGGGGGCGCCACAGACCTTAGGGCCATCGCCCTCAGCAGGCGGCTGCTCGGTGGGAGACACTAACTGCCCACCAGGACCTTTTAAGGACTACAGAGAGAGACCGGAAGAGAAGAGACTAGTCAGCTAGAGACGAAGGCAGCAGGTTTTGAACTAATTCTAGAGACTTTCTAGAATTTCTAGAGAGGAAAAGAGAACAAAAGAACATTGCAAATAGCAGCCCGTCACGTTTTCTTGTGAGAAATATACAATATATCCCCTGATGATTTAACATGATACCTTATCACGGGGCACCGCTGAGGGAAGCTCTCTCATTCGGTTACGCCTCTGCTCCTGTTACGAAGACAACAAGAATAGACTTCACACTGAAACATGTTCTAATCAATGCATTTCGGTCGTAAATCAAAATCAAATCATCAGTCATTAAAAAATCTGTAAACCTCAATGTTGTTGTTCATGAGCCCACAGGCATCTGCGAAGTCTGGGTGTTTGGTGTTGATATAAGCCAACTCAATTGCCACAAGATTGTGAACCTGGAGCACAGCGTAAACACTCATTTAGAGAAGATACACATCATGCACATTAAAAGCATGAGAGAAAAAAACTAAAACAAACCATCTCATTGGTGACTGGTAGCCTCTTCCTGAGAAGAGAAGTGACCACTTCTACTATGGCATCGTGGAGCTTTGGAAACCTAAGCAGCTCCTAGGAAAGAAACGTCAATAAAATAAAAATCGCAAAAAGAAATTCAAACAATGCTGATAAAACCATCTAATCATTTAACTACCAGCAATTATATTTGACTATTGGATGAAGAAAATGTTGGATAAGAAAAGTCTAACACTGTAATGTAGAAGTAAAAATTTGTTTAATAAACATTTAATTTTGTACTCTTTAGCTTCATAATCATATGGAAGCCCGTTTCAGCCACTGAATAAAACAAAACAAGGTTATTGCGACTTTTTATCTCACAATTCTGACTTTTTTTTTCACAGAATTGTGAGATATAAACTCGCAATTGCAAGTTATAAAGTCACAATTGTGAGATAAAAACGTGCAATTCTGAATTTTTTCTCACAATTGCGAGTTAAAGTCTAATTTTGAAGGAGGGAAAAAGACTGATATGTTCTCAGAATTGCGAGTTTATATCTCACAATTATGACTTTTTAACTATCAATTGCGAGTTTATATCACGCAATTCTGAGAAAAAAAGTCAGAATTACGAGTTTGTATCACGCAATTATGAGAAAAAAAGTCAGAATTGTGAGATAAAAAGTTGCAATTACCTTTTTAATTTTTTTATTCAGTGGCGGAAACAGGCTTCCAAATAATAAGCTTAGTATAATTACTATAATATATATAAAATTAAACATAATAATTATAAAATAATAATAACACTAATAAACTACACACACACACACAAATCAAACAATACTGGTAAAATTAATAATACAGAATGATATAAAAATAATATATTAATATTATATAATAATATAATATATTTATTAGTAGAAAGTCACAAAAATGAAAATGATGATAAAACAAAAACTATAATAATAGTAGTAAGAAAAATATAACAGTATAATTCATAAAAATTACAAAAAATAAAACAATGCTAATAAAACTATAATAGTATTAATATATACATTTCTTTTTTTTAAACTAATCTAATCACTAAGTATCAGAAATTATATTTGAGTGTTGGATGTAAATATGTAGCATATACAGATATGAAACGACCAAGAGAAAATAGTTGTACAATAAACATTTAATTTTGCACTTAATAATTACTAAATTAAAACTACATGGAAAATACGCAAAATAAGCACACAAAATTGATATATTTAAGATCAACACGTCCTTTAAACTGACACAGTATTAACTCAAAATTAAAAAAACTGACACTAGGTGGTAGGTAGGAAGGTTTTTTTTTTTTTTAATCGGCCAATCAAACAGTTATTCGCAATAGCGTTAATCTCAATATGAGCAAATATTGCCTTGGCCATCACTAAAGGGGCATTCACACCTATAACACTGTGTCTACACCGGATGCGAAGGGCGCGGCGTGACAAAATACTATAGAACCCATTATAATCAGTGATGTGGCGCGGCGCAACACGACAAATCCCCGGCAGTAAACAGCTGCCGCGTTCTATTTATGACGTACTGACACAAATTTCAAATGATTTTCAACAGTCGCTGTCACATCCAGTGTAGACAGACTTTAGCTGTTGCTGCACGACATGACAACTGTCGCGTCCGGTGTAGACACGGTGTAACCCTAACTCTATTAGCATCCACACCAAAATTCTGTTCATGCTAAGTGCTGCAGTTATATTGCTTAAGCTCTTTAGAGTTAGAGGAATGTTTATCAATGGTTTTATTGTTCATTAGTTGGATAAACAACACTGAAAGTGATTCCAATGACATTGTTCCTTGGTGTCATTATTGTTATATTCATGATGCTGACTTTGCTATTCAGTTATTGTTCTTAGCATGAACAGGCCTTAATTGATGTACTGTATATAACAGTGGAAAAACAGTTTTTTTGTGGGGAAAAAAGCGAGACATGATGCAACAGGCAAAGAACAACATGTATATGCAGACCAACAATCGATCAGTCTACCTGAGTGCTGTAGTTGCTGCAGTGCTGAATGATCCTCTGCATCTCTTCATGCACCAGCTCCACACAGCGCAGACTGGGCTCCTCCAGACGCTTCACCTGCCTCTTCACCAGCAGCTCAAACGACACCTCAGGCACGAACAGTGCAGGACGGGGACCCTGAGGAAACACACAACATCTACATTACAAACTACAGAAATATACACTTCATACTATCTAGCTCAACAGTGTTATACAAGAGCCTCTTTAAATCACTCTAATAATGAAAGGTTCCTCAAAGGAGTTTTGCTCAAATAGAAACCTGCAGCTCAATGCAGAGCACAGCTGGCTGCAGTCTCTATTTTATATCCATACAAGTACAGACGGGACTAAATTCAAATTATAAAAAGGATGCGAGAGTCAAATATTCACTGCAAAACCTACTGTAGCGTTCCTAATAGCTGTGAGTACATCTATGGTTGTAAGCCCTCCAAGAGGATCGACCGACTCCAGTGTCCTACCAAACGTCTCATGAAAAATATAACAAATTCTTGCACCACCACACCTACAAATATTAGAACAAACAACTATGGTTAGCACTAACACCACCTAGTTTGGGATCAGCAAGATGTTTTTATTTGAAAGAAATCAATACTTTTATTCAGCAAGGATGCATTAAATTGATCAACTGATCAAAATTACATTTTGAAATATATTAAATAAGAAAACAGTTATTTTAAATTGTAATAATATTTCATAATAATACTGTTTTTAATGTATTTTTGATCATATAAAAACCTTGATGAGCATAAGAGACTTCTTTCAAAAACATTTAAAAAAAATTGTTCCAAGCCCAAACTTTTGAATGGTAGAGTAAATAGCAAATTAAACAACTTTATTTGAGTGACTGGAAGAAAATAGGAACTAACAGTTCAGCAGTTTCAATGTATTTGGCCGTTCCTTCAATAGTGTTGCAGTACTCAGTGGCGAACTTTGTGATGAGCTGCAGCAGGGTGGAGCTCATGTCCTCTACCGGCTCGCCGTAGCTGCTGAGCAGGGACTGATACTGAGCTGCTAAAACATTGATACGTGTCTTCAGCTCTGGTAGACAGTCCCTAATGTGATGCATCAATAACCTGGTGGGGAAAAAATAGGATTTTAATACTTCAAAAAGCAGATATGCTCAGCAAAATTAATGAAATATTATGTTTCAAGCTTAAACTCTCACCTATTTAATGTTCTGGCGAGATACTTGGTTCCATTTCTGTTGGCGAGGGAGGGGTATTTCTTCTGCAGGAAGGCATGCTCATCACGGATGGAGTCTGCCACACATTTCTTATTATTGATATCCAGCTGACTCCTGTATTAAGACATTTAGTCATCTTTTTTTGTATATGTTTTGTATATCAATTTGAACAATCAATATTTTACTGTAATTATACATGCATAAATAAATATATATATATATATATATTTATTTATGTTTGTATATATATATATATATATATATATATATATATATATATATA